CACAAAATTATTACTTTATTTCATTTAGAGATTTTTAAAAATCAAAATTCTAAGAGTATGTTTGAAAATATAATCACATAAACTTTATTTTTAAGATAATTGGCATTTGCTTCTTTCCACCGTTGTATAAAACTATATGCACACAGGGCCTGGGGATTTACTTCAGTGGTTCCAGTGCCTGCTTGCAAGCACAAGGTCACGAGTTCGATCTCTGGTACCAAAAAAATAACTATATGCACACATCCAATACACTCATTTTCAATTCCCAACTGTTTTAGAATGTCCTCAAAATAACTAAATAATCTACATAAAGTGCAACAAAATAAGCCACAATAAATTAATTTAAATCAAAATATATTACCTGATTACAACAACATTACATTAGAAATCAGAAACAGAATGAAATTGGGTAAGTTCTAGATATGTACAAAATAAGCACACCTAAATAATCAATGAGTTAAAAAGAAATTACAAGAGAAATTTTAAAACATTTTGATGAATAAATATGAAGATACAACATATTAAAATTTTTGACATAAGGTAGCACAGTGCTTACAGGGAAATATATAGCTGAAAAGCCTATTATGCTAAGGATCTCAATTCAATCCTTAACTTTTCACACTTAAAAAAACCCAGAAGAGCAAATTAAACCCAAAGCAAATAGAAACATGAATAACAACATATACGGTAGAAATAAATATGCATACCTCTGTTTATGGCAGCACAATTTTTAATAGCTTAATCTTGTGTATATGTGCATTAAAAGATGACTAGATAAGGAAAATGTGGTATTTATACACAGTGGAGTACCACTCTGCCATAAATAAAGATAAACAAGGTATTCATAGGTAAATGGATGCAACTTGAGTACATACTGTTTAGTTAAATAAGTCAGACACACAGACACATAACCTTAAGCATCCCATGGCTTCTCTTATATGATCAATATACATATATATATATAGAGAGAGAGAGAGAAAGACAGAGAGAGAGAAAGACAGAGAGAGAGAGAGAGAGAGAGAGATACAAATAAAGACCAAAATAGAAGATAGATAAATAGGAAATATGGAGAAGTTCAAATCATTCCAAAATTACCTACTCTGTTGTTTCAAAAATATCTTAATAGATATGCTAATTTGCTTCATTTATACTACTACTTATTTTTAGTTCACTGAAAAGAAAGTTTTGTGTTATTATCTGTTTCTTCTTTGTAAGAGAATCTTTTAGTCTATGTTTTGTACTCAGAGCAACTTCTTTTAACATTACAATACGTAGTGTATCAACTATTGTTATACTTTTATTATATTTTATGAAATTTAGTTTTTTTCATAAAATTAAAACCAACAAATAAAAATTTGAATATATATACAATAGGTAAATAGATTGAGTTAATTTTTTAAAGTCTGAAAAGTCCAGGATAAAGATGGTCCAATGATGAAATACATTGCTAATGTAAAGAATTTATACAATCTCTTACAAATGATGCCAAAAGTGAGAAAACAGCAACCATTTTCTAATTTATTCCAAGAAGCCTATATTGTCCTGATATAGCTCAGTGGTGCAAGTGCAAGGTCCCAAGTTCAATCCCCGGTATCAAAAATAAATAAATACATACATAAAAATTGGACAAAGGCATCAGAAGGAAAACCAACAAAAAGCTATAGATGGATACCTCTTATAAATATACTTGTAAAATTTGCCACCAAAATACTAGAAAGAAAGCCTCTGACATACAGTATATAAATGACTATATACCATGACCAAGTAGGATTTACCCTATGAGTGCAAGTGGATTTAACATACAAAAATCAACCGATATGATAGATCATATTAATAAAGGAAAAAAATAACAAGATTGAAAAAATAACAAGACCTTCTTTTTTCTTTCTGGTGCTAATAGAAATTTAAGCCAGGGCCTCTGCACTGATATGCATCCCCACCCTTTTTTCTGTATCTGTATCTGTATCTGTATATAAATATCTATCTATACCTATAGATACATATTATGTTTATGCAGGCTTTTGCCAAATGGCTAAGATGCCCATGCTGCACTGGAACTTGTAATCTTCCTGCTTGAACCTCCCAGAATGCTGGTATTACAGGCACGCATATGATCACAAAGTGGATTTTAAAAAGCATTAACAAAATCCAACATCCTTCCATCACAATACTCAACAAAACATAAGCGCAACATCCTTAAACTCATAAAGGTAATACATAAAAATAAAACTGATAATGCTGTTTTCAAAAGGAAAGATACTGTACATGATTTCCTCTTAAGATCAAAAAAAGACAAATATGTGTGCTCTTTTCACTTGTAGTCAATATAATACTAGAGGTTCTAGAAATTATACACTTAAAAAAGGAAAAAGCAACCACAATCAAAAGGAATTACAATTTTCTCTTGTTGCAGATTATTATTATTATTTTTTTGGTACTGGGGATTGAACCCAAGGCCTGCACACTGGAACTACGTTCTAGTCCTTTTATTTTGATACAGGGTTTTGCTACGTGGCTAAAGTTCCCCAAGCTGGGCTCCAATTTGTGGTTCTGTTCTGGCCTTTCAATGTGCTGGGATTACAGGTGTGCTGTGGGCCACCACACCCAGCCAGATTACGTAGTCTTGTAAAGAAACCACTAATAATCCATTTAAATGAATAAATGTCCTCTACATCGCTGCAAAATTCAATATCTATGCTGAAAATCAATAGTTTTCTGTACACATGGGATGGCAAATCTATAAGACAATTCAGAAAAAAATTAGGGTAGCATTAAAAATAATTATTTAGAAATAAATTTAACAAAGAAATTGGCAATTATATAACTGACAAAACACTTTTGGAGAACAATTTGCTATGAGTGTGTCCCATCTCTTCCATTTGTAAGAAGATATACTAAAACATATAGTGTGAAAGCAAACATTTTCTGTAAGAACATTTTTCCAGTATCATTGCTAAAACCAAAATGAGAAAAAGATCTTAAGTGCACAGAGAGAAGAATTAGTTTAATGAAAATGACATAATACAGTCATCAAATGATAAATTATATATATTTTCCCTTAAAAAGTATTTGGGATACTTTTGAAACAAAAATTCATGTACAATTTTTAACTGATATAATCAGTTAAAACTGCCTTGAAAAGAGCTGATGAAGTACTATTTAATTAAAATTATAGGGCCGGGGATGTAGCTCAGTGGTTGCGCCGCCTGCTGAGAAAGTGCAAGGACCTGAGTTTGATCCCCGGTACCAAAAAAAACCACAACAAACAATAATTAAAATTAGAAATTAGAAATTTAGGTATAGAGATGGATAGGAGAGATAAAAAACCTATATAAAACAAAATATTGCCAGTACTCATTATTAAATATCAGGATTTAGGATATTGTTTATCTTTTCCTTCTGCCCTTCTAATTCCCATTAAAACTGTAAATGAAGTTTAACATTTGAAAAGAGGACATTACTGATATATAGGATTAAATAAAAGTTCACATTGACAAGAGTTACAAATAATTGAGATAGTAGCTTTCATTAGATATTAGAATACTGTAAAAATAAAAAGTGAGCAATTTCTGAAACTTTCCAAATTACCATTTTACTTAACTTTTGTCTGAATTAAGAGGACAAAAAATAGATTGTCTTATTTACAAAATATTGCAATACTTTGATCATATTTCTTGTACCAAAAACACTTCACTGAAATTAAAAAAGGGAAATCTAAAAACTATGTATACTGATAACATTTTAGAGCCTAAATTAGTCCAAAGGAAAAAAATCCTTAAGTTGATTTTCAAAAGTCCAAGATATTCCATCTTTTCATGGTAATCCTGCTAAACTGTATTTGAATGTGGACAAATAAATCGCTTTCCACAAAACTCATGGAAACTGAATAGCTTAGCATATATCTGAGTATACTTCATATTGTATACAAAACAAAAAGGATTTTTATTTGTTGGGATCTGAGAAAAGCTGTCTTTACTACTTACTTCAGTGTGTCACTCTAAAATTAGAACAGAGATGAGGATGAATGTTGTAGACAACAACACCCTCTGTGAATGATAGGTGCACAAAACCCACAAAACCTACCCCAAAGGATGTATCACTTTTAAGAATGACAACATTTTTCTCTATCCCCTCACAACTGAACTTTACTTTTTTCCTCCCAAAAGCTAAATAGCAGCTATCATTTTTCCTAAAGTAACATTTACATTTCAGTAAAAGCAGAATTCCTAAAAAGTGCATTATTAAAGACAGTAGAGTATTATTGCGTACAAAGCATCAACCCAGCTATGTGAAAATATTTTTTCTAAATATTTCATATCAGAATCTTGTACCCTAACAGCATTGTTTGGAAGGACGATGCAGCAACATACTCATCCATATCATGGGTAGAAAAAAGCTCTCTCCTTGGCACTTTCATTTCAAAAGCTCTGAAGCAAAAGCGTAAAAGAGTTCACTCCCAAAACACACCCAGTGGTGCCTGTTCCTTCTGAGCATTTTCCAGGAAAGAGATTTTCTTTGATTTTGTTAGTTTGCTTTAAAATCACTACACATCAAGGGACAATGTAAAATAAGTCAGTATCATAGCAACTCATATTAAATATTTGCAGTATGTCTTTGGTAATTTAAGTAGTGATTTCAAGAGCATTAAGCATACACCACTCAAATATAAGTACAAACATATGCTGGATTGAGTATAAGTGATGCTTTTGGCAAGCTTATACTTTCTTCTCCAAGACAGTATGCAATGTCTTGAATTTTTTAGAGGATACACCAAGGCTGCACAATCACTGGCCTCTGCTCCTCTCGAGGCATTCTGAAATGATGAACCAGACACCCTTAACAATTATTTTGTTGAATTAAAGAGTATAGCTAAGCATGCCTACTAGTTAGAAAAAGATCCACTACAAACAAATTTAGGTGATCTTTGATAGTTTCTTGGTTAGGATTATCTGTAATTCTACTACTCTCCAATAACATTAGTAACAAAAAGCTGAACTTACTTCTTTGGGAGAAAATGCTATGCCACATTCTAGCAATGACTTTTTTTCTAACTCCAAAAAATACATACGAGGATCATCAGGGTTTGTGAACCGTCCTACAAGACAGGAAAATATACACATACAATACAGTCAGTTGCATAACTAAAACATCATTATTAACATAAAAATGTAACTCTACTAATCTCAATATTGTATTCAAACAATAAGACGGAATTACTGAAAAATCTGGATAGGATTGCATAAGGTTACTAAATAACCAATTGCTCTTTTTTTATTTTATAGGTATATTTTAGGTATACAATATAAGGACATTAATCATTGGAGATGTGTACCTTTACATAATATATCTTGATTCTTATTTTTCCCCATTCCCCTGCCCTCCCTTCAACCCGTCCACCCCTCTCTATTACAAAGACTTTGTTTCCATTTTTCATTTTCTCAAATTAATTTCACTCCCTTCTTTCCTTTCCCCTACCCCTCTCACTTCCCCTTCCCATTTGCCCCTTTTCTTCCTATTTCACATTATCTATTATATATTTTGATACTTATTTACACTTTCAGTTTCTCATACCAGGGAAACTATTCAGTGTTTACACATGTGCGTCTTATTTATTTCACTTAAGAGTATCACCTCAATGACCAATCACTCTTAACACCAAGATTTGAAACAACAAAACTAATACTCAATTGTGCAACATAAATTCACCCAGCAAATCTAAGACAAATTTATTTTTAAAACCATCCAAACTTCAATAGACATATTGTCATATGGAGATGAATGTGGAAAGGAATAAGACAAGGTTAAGCAATCGAATCTCTGGTCCCAGAAGAGCTGGGGACTACTTTTACAGTAAAGATGGACCATGGAAGATCCAGATCTCCTCTGATGCTCCAAGTTGTCAAAAAGAAACATGTATCAATCACCTCATTTATTCACTGTTGTATGTGGTGAGACATTTGAAATTTACTCCCAACAATTTTGAAATATGTAATACATTATTATTAACTATGGTCATCTTGCTACAAAATAAATCTCAAAAACATTTGTCAATTAAGAGTAATATTAATAATGAAAATAATAAAATTTTATCCAATAAAATTTCTTGACAAAAATGGAATCACTTCAGGAACAAAGGCATGAGGTACAGATACTGAAACAATTGCCCCACAGTAATGCAAATTGCATGGTAATAAGCTATAACCACTTCAATAAATTCCTGAATGTTGTACCAGAATCTCTGTTCTCGTCTAAACAATTAGAAAAATCCTATTTTTCTTCCTAAAATATTCTCATTAATCCAAGGAATGCTACTAATTTCATTTGTCCTTGTCTGGAAATAAACTTCAATAATTTATTCAATTTCACTCATCCGTGGTAAAAAGGCAAACCTTTAAACAACAACAAAAATCCATTCACTATGTACAAATACTTGGAGTTTATTGGTTGAGAAAAAACCAAATATTATATAATAAAGATATTCACCAGAATACACACATACACACACATGATATACAAATATCATACAGTAAAAAATATCAT